ATACATATGGCGGATAGGTGTATTGGATCAAAAGTCTAATACCATATAGAACTTATATGCTACATTATATGTTATTGGATTTGTAAGTGTGGTGCGTCGGAAATCTTACCCGTTGCAACCCCCTTCTTCTTATAATTTCATGTGGTCAGGGTTATTATAGTGATTCTTAATTCTGGTTTGTTGTACTCTTATGAGTGTCTTAATGCTTTGTCAATCACTGATTGTAGGATCTTCATGGCTCTGACTCTAAATTCGGTGCTAGTGTTTCTCCTCTGGCCCTAGCAGCACACCTAATCAGGTTGATTCTTAGTGATGGTCTTCTTGTTTTTCTTAATTAAGTGGGATATCTTGTATATGTGTGTGTTGAAAAAAATTTAATGGATATCTTGTATATGTTTGAAAAAGTTGTCATGTTTATAATAGTATGGTTTATGATTGAATTTTTTCTATTATACCCTTGCTTAAGCTATTTGGAGAGTTTAAAAATAGTGTCACTACTAGCTTGTACTTGTGTAAATGCGCAAGTTTCTTAATAAGTGGGATTTTCGTCTTCCTTTTTCTTTCTTTTTTCCTTCTATTAATGGAAACTACGTAGTTTGTATTAATGTTTCTTATAAAGCAAATCACAAGAAAGTAGCAATTTTTGGAGGAACAAGTTTGGAAATTGAACAATAATGTAAGTTGGTATATATAACTAGTAGTGAAAGAATTTAATTTGGTGGGTCCAAGGATTGGTCCATCGACATGCAATGGGAGAATTCAGAAACAACAAAAATGTGTTAAAACCTTAAAGTTGTTTTAATTGAAGAATAATTAGTATCTAGAAATGATTTTGTTAATAAATGTAAACCCATTATAAATACCAGTAATTAGTTGATTACTTAGAGGACTAATTGAACATGGAGGAAGGATGATTATAATAACGATTTTTTCACCATATACCCCTGAGTTTTTCGTTTATTTACCATATACCCATGAAAATTTTCAAATTCATCATATACCCCTGAATTGTTACAAAAATTCAACATATACCCCTAATGACAACAAAATGAGTGAAATTTGATTAATTATACATCAAAACCACCTCAGATCTCTCCCCCCATCCCCGAAACCACTTATCTCTTTTGTCCAATCCCTGAAACTACTCCAAATCTTCGTAATCATATATTTGTATGATTGATTTTGAGAATGAGAAAAGGAAATTTGGGATGGTTTTGGGGCTGGGAAAAAGAATTGTGGATGATTTCGGAGGTAAGAGAATGTATTTAGGGTGGTTTTGGATTATAATTAAACCTAATAATTGACAAGGTTAACAATCATTAGTCATTAAGAATATAAGGTGTATTTCTGTGAAAACTCGGAGGGATATGATGAATTTTAAAGTTCATGGGTATATGATTAATAAACAAAAAAACTCAGGGATATATGGTGAAAAATCCGTTGTAATAATCATTAAATTTTATTTTATTTTTTTTGACAAGAAATAGTAGCAGAATTTATTAAGCAACAGTAGGGCAAAAATCAGCCATTACTAGCTCCATAAGAGCACCTGGAATGTCTTCCATCCAAACCATAATCTCCTCATAGTTACAACTTAAAGAGGCTAAACTACGAGCAACCCGATTCCCTCCCTCTTGACAAAAGAAAAAGAAACAGAAACACAAGATGAAGAAAGCTGTAAAATGTCTAAAACAATCGATGAGCCTCTGAGGGACTGGCATCAGACTTCACCAAACAGTGGTAAAGTTACAAGCAGTCGTGAAACCTGATTGAAGGGAGATGCTCAAAGCGTGCCGCATCGCCATAGCTTCAGCAATATCAGCATCAAACGCACCTTTCACTTGACGGCATGTGAAGATGACAACATCCCCAACGTAATCCCTCGTAACTGCTCCAAGCCCCACATAATTATTTTTGAAAGTAGCTGCATCAGAATTCACTTTGATAACTCCAACAGATGGAGCAGCCCATCGACTTGGGTGGTGCTTGATACTAGCTTCCATCACATGCTCATACTCACCCACCAACACTAAGTTCCAGTCAAACTCATCATTGCAACTAGAGGAGGTTGCCTTCTCACGCTCTCTCAATAAAGTCAGCATCTTGACAGTATATCTCCCATCTTTCGAGTAGTGCCACACCCACCTATCCTTCCTATCAAAAAGAGGAATCGGGATTGCGCAAATAGCTTCAACCTCCCTGCCAGAGAATACTTCATTCAACGTCTGCAGATTCCAGCTCCTCTCCACCCTATAATAATCATCAAGTTTAACACATGGTGGTTAGTATTTAATTGTTGTACTTTAGTTGATTTCATAGAAAACAATTCAAAATGGAGTACGATTACAATAATCATCAAGTTCGAATATGGTGGTTACTATTTAATTGTTGTACTATCGAGTATAAATGTACTACCTCTGTTTCATATTATTTGCAACGATTTGACGTAAAGTAGAGAGATAAAATGTCTAATCGTTGCAAATACTATAAAACGGAGGTAGTATAATTTCTGAGACCTTGTGTGTATGTGTAAGTCTCAACTACAAAATAAAATTTTACATTTTTTTTATTGCTAATCCATTCAATTTAATGGGAAGGTTGCTCAATACTAAGAAATCACATAGAAGCCATGGTGAAGAAAAAGAAGGTCAATTCACATAGACCTTGTCTGGGCACGGTGGCGGGGCGAGACCGAGACCGAGTGGGGGCAGGGAGGGGTTTTTTTTGTTAGTAATTATTTTTTATTTAATTTATTTTTATTTTTATTTTTTTTGGCCAATTACATGCTGACACATGTTAGCCAATTAATTTAACAAGTTAAATCACCGGTTGTGATCATTAAAAGAAAATTTACATTAAAGTTCGAATTATTAAAAATAATCCAAAGAATTAGGCGAAGTTCGAATTTTTCCTTTTTATTTTAATAAGTTTTGCTATTTTTAATTATTAAAAATAAGGACCAATAAAAAGGTGACATGTGGCAAGTCACCTTCCCTTATAAAACCGGTCACTAACTCAAAAGTTCGATTAAAGGCTCATTTTGAGAAAATAGGGGTAAAAGGTGGGCTTGTTCCCAGATTACGCAAAGGTTGACTCGTTTTGAGTAAATCGAGCAAAGATGAGATTATTCATTGTATTTTTTCCTAAAAATGAAAAGTTTTGAAAATGTTGCGAAGAATATAAAACGGAGGGAGTATTTTATTAAAAAAAAAAAAAGAAAAAAGAAACCTTAGGGAGTAATTCTCTAGTGTGTTTAAGCCCATGTCAAAAGATAAAAAAGAATCAAAATGCTAAATATTGGACTAAAAATGTGATTGTAAGTTTTAAAATGTTCACATTTATTATAGAGTTGTATTATTATTGATGGAAATACACAACAAAATTATCTCTCTTTTTTTGAGCGATTGATTATTGATAAATAACAATAATCTTTCCCCAAAATAATGGCCAAAAATAACTCTTGGGGCAGAGAAAATCTAGCCCAAACCATGCATTTTCGCCTTCATTTCCCCCATTTTTGCTTTTATCTGCTTATTTTTAGAATTATAAAAACTCCATTCTTTTTTTGCTATTCAATTTTGTAGAAAAAAAAAATTAAAAATATTGGGAAAGAAAAACCTTACCCAGAAATAAATGGATTGTTTTTGAATTTCTGGGATTGGGTTTCTTAGAAAAAAAAGGATAATTGATTTTACCCAGAAAAAAAATAAATAAAAAAAAAATTAAATTAAAAATAAAGGTAATTAAGAGGAAAGTTGTAACTTCTTGGCAACTTAATTTTGAAGGGAGTTATTTAAATTAAAAGGAAAATTTCCCAAAAAAAATTAAAAATAAAAAATGGGAGGTGGTGGAGGTGGAGGAGGAAGTGGTTTAAGCAAGCCAAGGGAGCTTGATCAAACACCAACATGGGCTGTTGCTTCGGTTTGTGCTATTATTATTCTTATTTCCATTGTTTTGGAGAAAGTTCTTCATCTTATTGGCTCGGTAATTTTTCTTTTTTTACCTTCAATTATATTGTGGGATGAGTTTCTGTGTTTGAAGCTATGTTTGTGTAGATTAGTGATTTGTGACATTATGACTGTTGTCTAATATACCGTTCACGTAAGATCAGGAGAGGCTCGCGGTTTATTTTGGTTTTAATAAGTAGCTTAGATGGGGTGCAAAGGAATTCTATGCAACTTTGATTAATGCCTCTAGTTGAAACAATGTACTTGACAAGCCTTTGGAAACTAGGGGTAAAGTTGCGTACATCTGGATTTTGGACATCCCACATCCCTTGGTCGAGTGTATGGTGAAATCGCGACTGGATTGTTGTTGATGCAATGAAATGAAGGGTAAGGCAGTAACAACAATATGGAGGGCGTTTTACTCTTTTTAGTTTGGTTGGTTACTACACAAGTTTAGGACTGGGATATGATATCGTTTATGGGTTTGGTAAATTTGTAAAATGAAAATGAGAGAGCTTATGCATATGATCATGATAGGATTTGCATAGCGAAATTATCAGCATTATGGAATGATAATTTTGTATTTATAAATAAATATCTGTTCTTCATTCTATTATCAGCATTATGGAATGATAATTTTGCATTTATAAATATCTGTTCTTCATTCTAGTTATGCATCCTTGAGCAGATACTCAACATCTGTAACGTACTTTATGAGAAGTATAAGAAATTCTTCATATGTTACCTATGCGATGTAGAAAATATAATTGGTATAGAAGTATTTTATGATAAAGTGTTTTAGACTTCTATGTGTGCTAACATTTTATTCTTTTCCTCAATGTGATCACCAGTACTTTCATAAAAATCATAAGAAAGCTTTATTTGAAGCCCTCGAGAAGGTTAAAGCAGGTTAGCAATAGAAAGTTAAGCTGTTTGAGTTTGTTTGTTTGTTTTTTTTTTTTTTTTTTTGTAGGAGTTATTTTAAAGAAAAATTATGTAAACATTTGAACTATAAAAACTATATCAGCAACTTCTACACCTATATATGTGCAGAGCTGATGGTGCTAGGATTCATTTCTTTACTCCTCACATTTGGGCAAAACTATATTATCAGTATCTGTATACCCTTGGAAATTGGGATTTTTTACGAAACTGAGCCTAATTGAAAAACAATTTACGAAAATAGACGCGTGGCAAAACTATTTACGAAACTGAGCTTCAGAGGTAAAACGCTGACTCGGTCAGCGTTTTATTCCTTTTTTTTTAAAAAAAAAAAATCGTATTTTAAAATGCCAAATTAAAAAAACATGAAATACAATGAAACGCTGACTGAGGCAGCATTTTTAGGTAGGTCCTAAAACGCTGCCTGAGGCAGCGTTTCATTAACAAGGGAAAGACGCTGCCTCAGTCAGCGGTTTTCGCTGGTATATTGCTACAGAAAACCGCGACATCACATTATTCACTCTACTTCAAACTCTCTCAAACTTTCTCAAACTCTCTAAAACGGATATTCCGTCGTTGTACTAGGCCTCCCCGCCACCGGAAAGTGTGCTGCTGTCGCCGCCGTCGCCGCCTTGTTGGTACTCTCTCTCAAACTATCCTCTTCATTTAATGACATTGTTGGTACTTCTCTTTGTTTTTTAAATTTTTAAACCTAGGTTAGTTTGATAATTATATAGTACATTGTTTTAATTTGATAATGTTGTTGATTATTCTAAGTTAGTTTGATGTAAATTGATTATTATGTTGATAATTCTAAGTTAGTTTGTTGTAATTTGATAATACTTTAGTATAAAAGCCCTAAATTGATGTTAGTTTAGTAAGAAAGTTTATGATGAAATTGTGGAAATGTTTGGTAAAAATGTTGAAAATGTTGATGAAATTGTTGATATTGTTGATGAAATTGTTGTTTTAATTTGATAAAATAGCCTACATTGTCGTTTAATTACGAAAATTATGTTATGTAGAATACGTTGGTTGTTAGTGTGAATATGTTCGTTGTGTACTTTGTTTTGGTTGTTATGTGAATTGGAACAATGATGGTTAATCATGTTTGTAGTGTGAATTTCTTGGTTGTTATTGTGCGAATTGGTGGAGATTGCATGCAATTAAGATGTGTTTTTGGTTGTTGTATTGAATATGGCTGCACAAAACGCAGCTTTGTTATGCCGATGGGGGGGTGAATTTGCGTCTGATAGACCGAATGTCCAGTATAGTGGTGGAAATATGGAACCATTGCCACTTGGACCAGACATGACTTTCAACGATCTGATGAACGAGGTTCATAGCATTATTGGCTTAAACCGAATGAATGTACAACTTAACATTCAAATGAGGTTTGAGACTAATAATGCGGTTCAAGTGTTACCTTGTTCTAAGGATAGACATTTGAAAGCTTTGAGGAGCGCTGTTTTAATGAGGGGTTATCCACATGAGATATATGTAGAAATAGTGTCTACGTGTACGCAACAAAGTACTCGACCTGATCAACAAACTACTTATTTTTCCGGTTACACAGAGTCCTTCCGAATGCCCTCACAAGACATTCCATCAACTGAATATGGGATGGGGTCCTTCAGCAGACTGCTTCATGACGATCGGTTCCAGATGTCGTTGAGTTCACATATAGCTTCACCTGTATATGGTGGAACATCTACGACAATGTATTTGGAGATTGGGAGAGTTCTTATGGCCGACTTCCGCACTTCATGGAAGCACTCAAACAGTCAAACCCGGGAACCGTTGTATGGAAACACAAAGCTCTGGTAGACGGTGTTACTTTTTATGTGTTATCGCAGATGACATGGGACCCGTATGAAGCTGATTTAGTTGCTGCCATGCCTCCACATCTGCTAGATCATCAGGCGCAGTGGCGTTCTAGGGTCCCCCTGATCTGTTTTGAAGTCGTCGAGGGTCACCTACCAGATCGAGTCATGCGACAGTTTGGACTACGACAGACTGTCCCCCAGCAATGTGACACTAGTGCCCGGCTGCACCGCATTGACCGTCGGGGAAAGAGCGACAGGAACTGGCAGACGGAGCATGCCCAGTACATTGACTTGTGGCATCGACGGTTGGAGTTCGTCGTCACTGGTGACCCCATCCACGGCGTTATGGATCCATACGATCCATACATGGAGTGGTACATGCGGATTACACGGCATTTCATCAACCCCAGCTACACACCGCCATCCGCACATTACCATCCATCCTTTGACGTGATCAGGGGATATGTAAGTGTATTTGATTAACTTATTTTTATCAATTTTAAATTTGTATATCATTCAACTAACTCATCCTTAATTACTGCAGGCGTTGGATATGACAGCGATGGTTGACGCACTGTCAGACGTCCTTCCAGGCATACCTGAGCCGCCCAGAGCACAGGTCGAGCGGGTGCGAGATATGGGCATGGCTACCTTGCAGAGATATGGTCACGCCTATGTCGTCCACCCCCGGGACGATCATGGCGGCCACTCTAGTCACTCACAGTTCGAGGTTGGCCAGAGTAGCTGTGGGGGTGATCCTTCGTCATTCACGGGCGCAGAGGAGTACGACATTCGCAGTTCCGCGCCCCTACGTCATCCTGATGACCCATCTTCCAGCCAGCTGACTCCGCCAGTACGCCCGAACCCATTTACCACGGTCCGTCACTACAGCCGTCGTCAAAGGCCGAGAGTGGACATACAGGATAGAGAGCCGTTACACCAAATTGATGAGTCAGAATAGGATAGAATTATCTGATTTATTTGCTGTAATGACCTTCTCTAGTTTGTTGTACATAACACTTACATTACATTATTATTTTAATAATTATTTGAATGAATTTATGTCTTGTTTGAATTTCAAATTCCTTATTTGTCCACGTTTGACTCATTTCGTTCAAAATAAATTGTGGATGTGGAGGTGGTGGATGTGGAGGAGGATGGGTGGTGGAGGTGGTGGATGTGGAGGAGGAGGGTGGTGGAGGTGTTGGAGGATGTGGAGGAGGAGGGTGATGGTGGTGGTGGATGTGGATGTGGAGGAGGGGGGTGGTGATGGTGGTGGTGGATGTGGAGGAGGAGGGTGGTGGATGTGGTGGATGTGGAGGAGGAGGGTGGTGGATGTGGTGGATTTGGAGGAGGGTGGTGGATATGGAGGAGGAGGGTGGTGGTGGTGGTGGTGGTGGATGTGGAGGAGGAGGGTGGTGGATTTGGAGGAGGAGGGTGGTGGTGGTGGTGGATGTGGAGGAGGAGGGTGGTGGAGGTGGAGGAGGAGGGTGGTGGTGGTGGTGGATGTGGAGGAGGAGGGTGGTGGAGGTGGAGGAGGAGGGTGGTGGTGGTGGAGGAGGGTGGTGGAGGATGTGGAGGAGGAGGGTGGTGGTGTTGGTGGATGTGGAGAGGGTGGTGGATGTGGAAGGGGGCTGCACTGGCTGCTGTTGGGGGCCTGTTGTTGCTGCCTTCAGCCAGCACAGGCAGCGTTTTATGCTTAGGTGTAAAACGCTGACTCAGTCAGCGTTTTTCTCAACGCTGACTGAGTCAGCGTTTTACTGTATTTCCAATTTTTTTTTAAAATTTGTATTTCACATAATACGAAATTTTATAAAAAAAAAATAATAAGCAAAGGTAAAACGCTGATCGAGGCAGCGTTTATGTCAGAAGCTCAGTTTCGTAAATAGTTTGGCCACGCGTCTAGATTGGTAAATTGTTTGCCAATTAAGCTTACTTTCGTAAAAAATCCTGGAACTTGCGGATACAATGTTGCCTTGTGCCTATAAGCCCAAAAACCATAAAGGAAATCAAAAACCCGCAGAGGGCAATGGAGGACATCACCGCAGGCTCTTATGGTATGAGCATAGAATGTTAGGAGGAGGTGCGGCTGCTGTTGGATGTAAGGAGGTGAGTTGGTATAACACTATAGTGTAATGTGCTTACTTTTTAATGTCGTACTGTACTTGTTTTGTTTCTAGTATTCTAAATCCTAAAGCTGCATAATTGAAAATACGTTAGATTTCTACTCTCTTGATCATGCATTGATGTAATTGCTCTCAGCCTCTCATACATCAAAGAAAGTTGCTCCATAACCATCTTGTTCACTGCTAAGACTTGCAAAGTATTTCACTCATGAAGCTAATCTTAATGATTACTAGCTCCTGTTTGGATGGTAGAATATAAGTGAGTTTGTAGAACTCTCAAAACCTCAGTCAATTTTCTTCTCTCATAAGAATCCATGCCAACGGCCATGATTGTAGAACCTGCTAGAAAAAACAAAAGACTTGCAAAGGATCTACTTCACTATCATTCATTCTAAAAGCTGTTATCAGGTTATATGTTTTTTATCATAGAAATTGGAAAATATTGTCTGGTGAGTTTCACTGACATTTTTCCATCAACAGGGATTTGTGCCTCTGATATCTGCTAATGGTACATAATATAATTATGCTTAAACGTTGGATATCTTGCTCACATTATTGAAGCCCTAATCACCTCTATGTAATTCAGACTGACCTTATGGTATCACATTTAATTTTTCTAAGTTTTCTGTGTAAGTGTAGTTATCCTCTTATAACCAATCTACCAAGACTAAGATGGCTTATAGTGGGACAAAAGCCATTTCTGAAATGACAACAGGACACCACTAACTACCTGATATGTGCCTTTGTGGGCAATTAATCGGTGGTAACCTGGAAGAAGATCGAAAAGTCGATGAGTATTTTGATTAATTTGTGTATGTTCATTGCATTGGTAGTGTTTCTGCTGAATGAAATTCTGTTGTGCAGATGCTGCGAAGTTTCGACTAACTCATGAGACGTCATTTGTAAAAGGACACTCCAGCTTTTGGACTAAAAATCCCATTTTGTTTGCCCTTGTAAGATATTTTAGAACTTCCTTAAACATTGTTGTTTTTTTTTTTTTTTTTTTGGGTTGCAATATCTCTATTTACTTTTTATGCCTACTCTATCTGTTACATATTTTCTGCTTATTCAATTATTTCCCTCTTACCTTTGACAGTTTAGCTTTAGCATGTAATTGGAGGTGCTAGATTTATAGTTTTGACTTTTGAGGATATATTTTGCCAGCAAAATGTGCATTGCATCCTAATCACACTTGTGTTTTGAACATTAAGCTAGGTTGATTCGTTACTAATAAGGAAATCTTAACAGGTTTGCTTCTTGAGGCAGTTCTACAGAACTGTTCGTAAAACTGATTACTTGGCACTGCGTCATGGATTTGTTAGTGTACGCTCTTCAACTGACAACAGTTTATTTCTTTTGTAATTTTGTCACTTTTCTAAAAGTTAATTTACCATCTTTTTCATAGGTTCACCTAGCACCAGGAAGTAAATTTGATTTTCAAAAATATATAAAAAGATCCTTGGAAGATGACTTTAAGGTAGTTGTGGGTATCAGGTAAATATCTATATACATTTATTTGCTTTGTTGTTTTTATTGCTCTTTGTCCCCAAAACCTTTCTATTTCTTAACTCAACTTCGTTTTGGTATTGGCAGTCCTTTGTTATGGGCATCTGCAGTCTTCTTTCTACTTCTTAACGTTGATAGTAAGTTGTTTTACTCTGCTGTCTTTTCATTTCTTTTTATTCTTGTCTGGGGTGCATTTTATAGTAAATTACTGATTCTACCAATTATTATTGTCTCAGAATGGGATTCAATGGTCTGGTTGTCCTTCCTGCCTCTTATCGTAAGATACTCTCATATTTTCCTCATATATTCATATCCTTTATGCTATACAATCATAGATTTTTTGAATAATCAACTGTGAGGGTGGTACAGGTGATCTTGTCAGTTGGGATGAAGCTTCAAGCAGTCATAACACGGATGGCTGTTGAAATTACAGAAAGACATGCGGTTATCCAAGGAATGCCTCTTGTCCAGGTCTCTGATAAAAACTTTTGGTTTGGCTGGCCGCAGCTCATCCTGTATCTCATCCATTATGTTTTGTTTCAGGTATCATCCTTAATACTTCCCCTAAAAAAACCGTTTTATTTGGAACTTTACTGCAATTATGTGATTGAAAGATGATAAAAATAGCTCAACTATTGTAAAAGCCTAAAAAGGTGTATTTTAAGAAGTTGGGATAATGTGACAATTGATTTCGGATAGAGGAAATAATAAATTTGTTGTATCTTTTTTGTTTACTTTATTACCGAACATTTAACATTATTTTCTTGGCTTTTGGTTCAGAACGCTTTCGAGATTACTTATTTCTTATGGATATGGGTAAAGAACTTTCTTTTGCTAGCTTATGAACCATAACAATATCATCCCTGTTGACTTAAAATGATGGTTCCGTCTTTGCAGTATGAGTTTGGTCTAAGGTCTTGCTTCCACTCAAATTTTGCCATGACTATTGTCAGAGTTTGTCTTGGGTAAGCCTTTCTTCTAAAAATTGTGATTTTATCAAAGATCTGATAAATGATGTGTTTTACAAACCCGGACCTATCTTGGTCTACAACTAACTCTTCGTCTGAAGTCTAAACCTTCTAGCATGGGTGGAAGCTGGAAAATGAAAGCCTCTTATATCTCAAGCATCTGACTGTAGGCTATTTTAGTAAGGGCTGTCTATATGTAATGTTGTTGCAATGCGCACTGTTTCCTGTACATTTATAATGCTGCCTTACAACTTCGGACAGTATTACTACTTTAAAAAAGGAAAAGAAAATGTGAAGAAACGTAAAACAAAATTGTGATCAATTCACAGTAGGCAATATTACAAGAAATTATCAATATTACAAGAAAGTTCCCAATTTTTTGCTTTGCTTCTTTAATATTAATTATGGAAAACTTCCAATCGCAGGGTAGCAGTTCAATTCATGTGTTGCTACATCACACTCCCTTTGTATGCCCTTGTGACTCAGGTTAGCTATTTCATGTCATTTGTGCCCTACTTGGCTATTTCAAGGATTCAAACATTCATCTCCTCTTTGTATTTATGCAATAGAAACTTATTAAGTGATTACCTATTTGGAGGCTTATTTTTGTTGGGATTGACAGATGGGATCAACTATGAAGAGATCGATATTTGATGCGCAAACGTCAAAGGCTCTAACAAAGTGGCGTAAGAATGCCAAGAAGAAGAATGATGGGAAACCAGGACCTGTGCCGACCCAAGTCCTTGGTGGATCACCAAAACATAATGAAATGGCCGACATGACTACAGTAGATCTTCAGGGAGAGGATCGTCCTGATCATGATCATCCATAACCTGTAAATATCTGACTTCAGTGGAAGATATTGAAGCTCAAGTTTGTAGAGCAGAAGAGCCCAGTGATATGAGAGCTTTGGTGCATGAAAAAGGACCTCCTTTTTCCAGTGTGTGTAGCTATCTATACATGTGTTAGAAGGCAGAACAAAACTCATCTTTGACAGTTGAGCTCATGAATGACATATCATTACTGATTTGCTGTCTTGACGATTTTCCCTAGTATATCATATACACTGCAATGCTCATAGTTGATGCATTATACTCAGATTTTGTGTGTTTAGACTTGTTGTCTCCCCCTTTTTTGTGTGGTGATTCTATACTCTTTAGGACTTCATTCAAAATTTTGTTGCTAGTCAAATGGCATATTGTAAGAGTTCGTGTTTAGTAGTAATTAAAAACTAGAGTTGTACAGTGTTTCTTTGAACGTTATAATGACAGAAGAAAGGGCATTGAGATAGAAGTGCATTGATTGATTTCTTACTAAGTTCTAAAATCCCTCCTTTGATATGTTAATTGACTGTAAGATTTTAAACAAAATTAGACACTCGAAATTTCTTGTCTTGCATAAACTTATTTATCCAGAAAGAGCAAACGGGGTCTACCTGTTAAGAGATCTGAAAGAAAAAAAAAAGGCAATTTAGATAAAGATTTTTTTTTTTTTTTTCAACTTAGATAAAGAGTTGGTTCGAACTCTTGTTCTCAAAATTAATTGCTAAGAAGTTAACCATTAATCTATTAATACTGTAGCCAAAAAAAGTTATTACTCCGTATTGTAATACATGTCTTAATATGTATCTTAATAACTGTTAAGAGTACCATTCATAATAACTGTAATACACTAATACATCTATTTACATGCTTAAAACTTGTTCATTAAATAATTATACTGATATTTTTTTTTTTTTTTTACTTACTCTGTGATATGGACTAATTCATAATAACATACATAATACAAAAACTCTATTCTTTTAGATTAAATGGAACCGAACTATGAAATTATTAAACTGAACTTTAAAAAAGTGAAACAAAAGTCTAAACGAATCCCAACTTTGCAATACTCGTACTAATTACATAGCTACACAAATACCCCTTTATAATCAATAGAATATTCTCTTACTCTTTCATAACCTAATCTTAGTAAGAGTGTCATGATAAAATCAATCACAAATAATATTCAAGCGGAACGTAGATAAAAAATAAAGATTTGTATAGTGCATTTTCAAAGTGTGACATTATGGACTATGGTTGCAAAACAACAAGTAGGAACAACTGAACAAGTATACAGTATACTTGTATAGTTGTAATGTTGTATTTCAATTCATTCCAGTGAGGTTTAACGTTTAAGAGATTTTATTTTGAGGGACGATAGATAAATAAATACTAATACCCTTTTCTTGTTCATACTTGCATATCACTGAACCCAGGAAAATGGGGTTAGGCAGTAGATTAAAGCTAGATCTATGTATCTTCATCTTCTCAGTTGCGCTTTTTTCTTCCCCTGTTTTTTCCGATCTAATCCTCTCCAAGCTTGACCGTCGCGTAAGTCTTTCTCTTTCTCTTTCTCTTTGAGGCTTTCTTTGGAGAAATTATACGAGTTTTTGATCTGGGGTTTAATAATATTGTAATTAGATAGAGATTGAATCTGGGTTTTAGCTTATGATCATTGTTTATTTATATGGGTATGTTGTATGTTTGTTTGTAGATTGACCTTGTAATGAAATTGCAGGGAATTAGTTAAATTGTTGTTTAGCAGTCACTTGTATCTTTTGTCATTTATTTATTTGGGCTGATATCAAAGGAAATTGATGAGCTTTCAGTGTGATTAGTTGCACTGCGAATCGGGTTTATATATTTTGTTGCCTAAAGGTTGCATTTGGGATTCCCACTTTCTGTAATTTGATGGGTTGGACTTGAATAATATAGGGGTTTAAGGGTAGAAGATGAGGTTTTGCATTTGCTTCTTTAATTGCTTTAGATTTTGCATCTTTTTCTTCAAGTTTTAGCTGAATTTATACTTTTTATGTTGATGCAGATTGATTTGACATCCCACATTGTGCGAGTTACCTCCAACATTAAGGTAATTTTGCTTGCTCTCTTTCCATTGGCATCAATATCATATAATTTTGTTATATTTTTAAATAATCCAACACTTTCCACTCGATGAGGCCCTGACATATAATTGTCTAGAACTGAGAGGCTACATAATTTATTTTTTTTTTTTTTTTTTTTTTTTTTGCTTAGTGACTAGCTGTTTTAGTTGTGCATCAAGGGTTGGTGGTTTTAGTGTTTAGATGAATTTAAGTAAGTGACTTTTGATGAATCATGAATACACCAGTTGTTATAACCTTAAACTTTATTTAGGTGCATTTGGTTTGTAAGAACATATGAGATCAAAAAATGTCCTGCCAAGTATTCACTTTCCTTGTAACTTTGCTTTGGTGTTTTAATGCGAAAAGAACTGAGGAGGGTTACTCCAGCTTCCGAGGTGGGTAGTGTTGAGATTGCATGATTCATATCTATGAAATATATCTTATTAGGTTGCTGGATGTAAATGCTGTGAAGAAGTGATAACATTTCATTTTTTGCTGCTACACTAGTATGATTGATCATATGCAAACTCTGTTATGTTAAACAGAGTTTGAATAAGTTGATTTATGCTTATACGTCACCAAAGCTTAGGTCAAGATACTGGTTTTTATGCAATCAAACGTTAGGGCCAGTAGAGCAATAATAAGCTTAGCTTTTTGAGGAGCTGGCATTTAGGTTCCAGGTTTCAGCTTTGGATTGATCTTGATTAAGCATGTGGTTTAGCGATTAGCCTTGTGTTATTTTACCTACCAACTTCTCAGGTCCAGCAGCTACTGTTTTTTCTTGCTAATTGCTACCTTATGTAGAATTTCTTATCTTAATCCTGATATTTTGCTATGTAGGTGGAAAATGATGGAAATGAACCAATTTCAGACTTTGTGGTTGCCTTCCCTGATCACCAGGCAAAACATTTGGCCTCTTTGTCAGCTTTTCACATCGAAGGCAAAGGGAAGACAAAAAGCCGTGGAGCTAGTCTCCCTCTTAAGCCTGTTCAATCTGAGGGTATCCCTCAATCTTTAATATCCTATTCTGTATCTCTACCCAAAAAACTTGTGAAGGGAGAAAGCTTATCCTTGGAAGTTTTTGCTGTGTTCGCTCATATCTTGAAGCCATTCCCAGAGAAAGTTTCCCAGGGTGATTTTCAGCTAGTTGTATTCCAGGATAGTGCATATTATCTATCCCCGTATGCAGTTAAGGTTCAAACATTAAGTGTTAAACTGCCTGATGCAAGAATTGAATCTTATACCAAACTAGAAAACAGCAAAGCCCAAGGTTCTGAAATAAAGTATGGACCATATGAGAATCAACCCCCTTTCTCATATTCCCCGGTTGTTGTACATTTTGAATACAACAAGCCATATGCAGTTGCACAAAAATTAGTGCGTGAGATAGAAATTTCACACTGGGGCAATGTGCAAATCACTGAGCATTATAACCTTGTCCATGGAGGTGCCATTCTCAAGGGAGAATTTTCCAGGTGTGTTTCCTTTCCCAATATATATTAATTTTGTTCCAACCACAAGTATCATTCGTTTATGATTTTATTCCTTGCATTGTTTTTGTATGCAGACTTGATCATCAAATGAGTTCATATGCAAAGGGTGCTTCATCATTTAGCAAACTAGTGGCTAAACTACCTCCAAGGGCACATTCAGTCTATTATCGGGATGAAATTGGCAATATTTCCACTTCTAATCTGCAGAGTAATTCAAAAAAGGTATTGTTCTTCTTGTGAATACCGTGCAATTAATTCTGCTATGTTAATTTTTTTCTTTAATTATTTATTTTTAATTTTCATACTTGCAGACTGAGCTAGAAATTGAACCAAGGTATCCTTTGTTTGGCGGCTGGAAAACATTTTTTACCTTTGGATATGGCTTGCCCCTGAAGGATTACTTATTTGAGGCTGAAGGAAAGCGTTTTGTTAACATCTCATTTGGAAGCCCTATTGATGAGCTGGTAGTTGATGAGCTCATAGTAAAGGTATTACCCCCTCTGTATTTTATTACTTGCTCCACTTTCCTTTTTTAGCCGTATTTTATTACTTGCTCCATTTCCTTTTTTGGAAACCTTTCACAATATTTTACTAATTTTTCTCTCCTAGTGGACCCCCAACTTTCATACATTTATATTATTGTAGATTCCCTCTCCTCCCAACTATCTACTTTATTCTTCTACCAACCCCACCTGCTTCATATTTTATTACTTTGTATTTTTTTCTCCTAAAACTCCGCGCATGGATAAATATAGCAAGTAATAAATTACGGAAGGAGTACTTCTTTAGGGTTCAATGTGGATACCCTCTTCTTGTTCTCCATTAATGTTATTACATTGAAATTGCAGCTTGGCTGTAGACACTATGTTTATTGGTTAATAGTATTGCATACTTTCTATACTTCATTTGAATAGGGTATGGAAGTGTAACCTTGTTGGCCTCATCTGTGGATCTGTTCAGAGTTAGAATAATAATTCAAATACTAGTAATTCTATTAAGGTTCTGTTGTGCTTTGTTTGTGTAGAAGATTGTGTTAAATTGACTCATTATCCTAATCAGAAAATGCTGGTTGTGCTTAAATGCTTGATACTGACTGTGCTCACTGCACTAGGACATTTTTGTTGGGAGTTACCCTTGCCAGGGCATTAGAGACCTCTTGGTCATAGTATGTATGATCTCCATAATGTCATAGTTCTCGCACACTATGGGTTGCTGATTGTCTGCGGTTGATAGTACAATGTTCCCTCTTTTCACTTGGAATCCTCACAATTTCATGTCTGTCATCCATGTGTTTGGACCAGATTTCGCACAATCAAATTACACTAATTAACACGAATTACGGCAAATGCTTGAGTATTGATTAATTATAGTTCGAATTACAGATTAAAGGAAGATAAATATAGCTTTAGGCTATAACTCTCATGGTAGTCTGAGGCTACTAATCTCACAAAGTGTTCACTCAATTTCTGGATGAATGCTACTGTTAAACAAAGTGCCTTATATACTACAGCTACTCAAGCAAATACAATGCCCTGTCATTAATTAAAGTTGTCTTCTAGCCTATCAAAAGCATAGCAAAGTGCCTTGGCCATGACACCAAGGAAAATCAGTTCTCAGCTTTGTCTTCTTGTCTTCTTTCCATATTTGGCTTGCTAAACAAATATCACTGTTCTTCTTGTCCCTCCCCTTTTTTCTCTTGCTGCCTTTCTCCTTTCTTCCTGTTAGACTCTTCATCAACTCTTTTATTAACCCTGGGCCTCCTTGTGTAGACCCGTATTGGAGTATGGGCTGCCTGGTTCTGGGCCGTATGTGGATCCATAACACCATGCCATGAGCGAACATGGTTTGAAAATACTTCGTATGGTTTTTATCATAATGTCGGGAACGGAAATGATGCATTGATCGCGGTCCATGTTGTGGTTGTTACTATACAAATTTGATTTAAAAAGTCTTTTATGATTAAATTAAAAAAATTACGCTATTGGAGTGATTAGAGCAATATTAATGGCTTAGAGCTATTTAGCTATTATTGGGGAGATATAGGGAATCTTTCATGGTTTCTCTGATTGGCTAGTAACTTTTGTGTGAAACAATAGATATAACATTTGATTTGGATGAGATCGCGGGTCTTGAAACTCCCAACCACAGACTATGTCAGTTCGGTCAGTTGAAAATCCTTTACAAAATGCATACCAAAACAATGCGGTGATATTTTTGCAGTGGCCATGAATGTCAAGATATTTGTCTAGGATTCTACCCCAATATATGATGATATGAGTGGAGAACTATTTCAATTTGGAAACCTTTTCTGTAATCAAAATCTTAGCACTATGTAGCCTTGCATAAGTTTCTGACAAATTTAACGATCTGCAGGTTGTTTTGCCAGAAGGGTCAAGTGACTTGTCTGTTTCTATTTCATTTCCAGTGGAACAAGAGCAAGAGGTTTGAAAATTAATCTAGCAGGATGAATTGCTTTAATCCCTGATCAATCCCCGTCCCCTCCCCGGGTTTTACCTTTTTTACCTTCTATGAAAGCAAAAAAATTGAACGCATAATATTTTTGTTACTTTTATTTCAACCAGACCAAATTAAGTCACCTGGATATAAGTGGTCGACCAGTAATGGTGCTGCGGAAGGTCAATGCAGTTCCAGAGCATAATCAACATTTTCAGGTATAAATTTCACAAATTCACTCCTCTAGATTCCGAGATTAATTTACAAATGTGCAAATGAAAGCATTATAGCTCTTTGATTGACATTAATGTTTAGGGTTAAAAGTCTGGAGTATAACTATTATTTTCACTCCATAGCAGTGGTATTACTTTTATATCCTATACTAGATTAGTAGATTGGCCAATAATGAAGAAGAAACATTTGGTTTTATATTACTTTTGACGGCTCTTATTTTATTACTTTAATACTATTATAGTTTTATCTTTATTATGAGCATCGATAATTATGGTTTTGTCAACCATCTTATAATCTCACCATCTTATGTATGTCATGATTCTCAGGTCTATTACAAGTTCAATTGTTTGTCCTTGCTCAGGGAGCCTTTGATGTTGATTTCAGGATTTTTCTTCCTTTTTGTTGCTGGCATTGCATACTCTCATGCCGACTTCTCAATTTCTAAGAGTTCTGCCTCCTATTTGGCAAGAGTACAGAGGGAGGAGGTGAGTTTATAATGTCTCATTCGTTTGGAGTCATAAGTTCAAGTAGGCAAAATCTAATTCGTGCATGTCTTCGCATGTTCTGGCCATCTTAATATTTAGGTGCAAACCATAATCCAGCAGCTTGAGAATATTATCAACCGATGTTTAGCAATCCATGATAAACTGGAGGTGTCATTGCGTGAATTATCTAGAACCGGTAATGTCCAAGCTTGTAAGACAGCTCGGAAAGCCGCGGACAACTTGCTCAAAGAGCTTTCGAAGGAGTTGAAGCCCTTGCTTACTTCCTTGCAGTTGTCTCCACAGGCGACCCAAATCTTTCCTAAGGTTTGTTTTAAACGTTTATTTTAGACGATTAAGGTGCTCCCCAATCATTTCTGTTCACGTTATTTTGAATCATTTTTACTATTTTTAAAAGCATTTCATAGGAATGGTATATAAGCTTTTACAAGATTGATACAATTGTATTTGATTGTATTGCAGGTGGAGGAACTTGTTACAAAGGAGCGAGAATTGCAAGAAAGGTTAATTACTAAACATTCAATCGTGATAGACTGCTACGAAAAGAAGCTGAGTGGTCGGGAAATCGAAAACCGGGTTGCTCCTCACCAACAAAAAATTACAGCCTTGAAGCAGGATGTTGATGATCTTCTAGAGTATATCGATGAAATCTGAATAGCATCTTTATAACTTAGTTCCTGCAACTGATAATCGTAGCAGCGCAGACGTGGGCTTTGTTTGTGTTAGATTGCTGATCTTATGCGATATACTTATCCAATTTTGTACTCTGAGTCTTTAATGTAGGAAGATTTAATATTATATGAAAGATTCGGCTATCTATTGGCTAGGACCATGGATAATAACAAAAAATTGATCATATGATTATTATTGTGAAAATTTGAAAAGCATGCATAACAACTTACTAATTCTTTGACCATTATTAGTTGTTCCCATGGAAGCAAATCTCGGCTGTTCCGTTCTATAATGGCCGCTTTATAACGGATATTGGTATGCCATTCTGAGAAATACCGTTATATATATCGGTGCATTGAAAATCACTCCCAACTTACCGTGACAGCCGTTAAGTAGCGGCTGTTAAATTTTAGCAAGAAGAAGTCTTTATAGCAAAAACAAAAACACAGCTTCTATCAACCTAATTTCCAGGTCTAAGTTTCCAAAGTAAAATCCCTGTTTGTACTCCGGCAATCTCCTATTCCGGCGATGTTTGTTTCCTGGTCTAATTACCGGCAACCTGCTTCCTCATGCAGCAGACTCTCTTTAACCCTTTTTCTTTTTGCTTTCTGTCATCAAGTGGCTTTCTCCCTCTTTTTTATTTGATTTGCTTTGTTTGAGAGAATGGCTTTTTCTTTCTTTTTAATAGTACGTACATTAATTAAAGAAGCTACCATCACAAAATATTACTCCTAACAATATATTGCTCTTTTTAGTTGTGTGATGTTGATAGCAATGCACATTAGGCTTTGTAAAACTATATTGCTCTAGAAAGCAATGTAGTTTTGTGGAGCTACAAAGTACATTCCTCCACCGTGGAGGGTATGTTGCTTCAAACTTTTGAGTAATTGTAAGTAGGTACCTCTTAGCTTAGGTACCGTTGTGGATGCTATAAGGGCTACATATATCATTATCTTTAGATTTATCTAGCTAATTTTATATTTTCAAAATAACTTTTCGCAATTTCATTCATAAAAATCAAACGTAGTGCAATTAAGCAAAATTTTCTAGCTCTCCCTTTTATCTAGAAAACCCTTGCTCCTAGGGGCTTGATCAGGGGAAGAGCGGTGGTGAGTTACATGAAATGTATGCCATGAATTGCGGGGTATTTACATGCACAAAGGCTGAGCTTCTGCGGTACAACGTGGGTTATCTATTGCTTGGAATGGTGGGCATAGGAAGATGAAGTTGGCTATTGACTCTTTCGCATGTTAAAGGGTGAGACACCCTCTAACTCTCCTTATATACACATTATTCGCAAATGCAAGGCTCTCATCTTTGGTAGAAGTTGGGAGATTGCTATTAACCATTGTTGTAGAGAAGCCAATCGAGCGGCTGATTGATTGACTAACTATGGAGTGGTGATGGAGCAAAGCAAGGCTAGTGCTCCTTGAGGTGATCTTGAAGAATCGTCGTGCTAATTTATGAGAAAACTCCCTAACACCATTAATTTTTTTTTTTTTTTTTTTTAAGTACACCATAAATATCGTGTCACGCACGGTATTTACTAATTTTCATATCTTTTTTTTTTTTTTGAGGAATCATAACACATAATATTAATTGAATAATAACTTTTGTACCTAAAATAATACTTTGGTAGTTATTTGATAGTAAGATTAACTAAATTTTTCTTATTAAATACGAAGTAAAATTTTGTTGATTATTTAAACAGGGTATTAAATATCGCCATAAAAAATGATCAAAACTGCCAACAGTTAGTGTGAATGAACAACCATACCCTTAGTACTTCACCACTATCTTTACTCTTGCCACCAATTACTAACACCTTGACACCACCACCCTTATAGGCAACGACCACCACCACCCTGACCGGCGACGATCACCACCACCTTCCCTCGCCGGCCAGAAGGTGGTGGTTTTTCTAATTTCTAGCAACCACTCCGGAGTTGGGAACCTGTTACCGGACACGATTTTAAATGTTAGTTAAAGAGATAAATAATAAAAAAGTGGTGTAAGTGGAGTTGGTAGGATAAAGAAATAATAAAACATAAGTGGATCTTTACCAAATACTCCCTCTGTCCCATAATACTTGGGACATTGTGGTGGACACATAGTTTAAGAAAACTACAAGTGGATCCATTTAAAACATCTGTTTATTAATTATATAAAGGATTCTTTTTTGTATTTTTATATTGTAAGAAAACAAAAAGTCGGGAAGGTGGAGGTAGTGGGGAGAGAGAAAATGTAGGATTTAATTGGATTTTGGGGTTTGTGATCCCAAAGAGATTATAGGAAAATATTTTTTTTATTAGTGATCCTGTTTCGGGGTTTTTTGTGTCCCTCGGTAGAGTTACGTCACTAAGTCTAAATTCTGGGCGCCTGTACTTGCAAAACAACGGAGACTCCGGGTGGTAGGAGCTCCGCCTCCGACGATCAAGTTAGAACCAGTCAAAGAATGTAAAAAGGTGCGGAAAAGGTAAAGTGAGATCTTCTCGAATTCCGAGATCAGGTGTTTTCTCTGATGTGAGAGAATTCAGTGTTTGCAATAAATGAACGTCCCCCTGAAATGGGGGAAATATCTCTATTTATAGGGTCATCCAAAAATGTGCCTTCTCTTAGGTCATCTTGACCTAGATTTGATGGGTTGCGCCGTTTTACGGCTTTCTCGGGAATTGGGCCCTGAAGGAGGCCTTTTTCCTTTACTGATTGGGGGTGCCACGTGTTAGCTGGTGAGTGGCCCTTATTGGACCTGTCTTGGGATGACACGTGTCCCCTTTTGATTGGGCCACGTAGCATGGGTATTTTTTACCCAAATCATTTCCCCTCACAGGGGTGACGTGGCGTGCCATGTGGCGCTTGTGACGTGTGTCACTCTGAAAGTGGTGAATAGTTTTAACTGTTCACCTTCTAAGGAAATTACGGGGATGCCTCCGTTTTTACCCCTCTATAAATAAGCATTTACCCCCCTCTTCCTCCCTCATCTTTGAAATTTGAAAAAGTCTAGAGAGAAAGACTCTAGTTGTCGCCTGCTGTAACTTCCACAAAAACTTTCGTCTACTATTTTCGTTGACACAGCCGGTCAACGCTTGAGACTCGTTTCAGCAAGCTACATTAAGGTAACCGTCTCTCCCCTTCTCAGCTCTTTCAAGCTTTTACCGTTTGCATATATATATAGCTTTCAATAAATGGATTCACCATCAGCACACACGGCACAACCTAGGTCAATAACCAGCCTCTCCTGGTACGGCTGAGTCAAGGACTGGGGGTGCCGTCTCTAGGTGTTTGGATCTGCCTTGCTCATCCCTAAATATGACCGTCTCTGTGTCTATGCAAGACACAATGGCGAGGGTCAAACAGACGGCTACAAGGCCAAGACATAGAAGGCACACTTTGGAAGTGCCGCCTGATGAGGTTACGCCGTTTGAGGAATATGATAGACTGGATGAGCAAGAGGCAGATTCTTCTCCGGGTGCCCCCACCACTCCCAGTGATGGAATTTTAAATGAGACAGACGATGAGGGATTTGTCTCTGCCCATAGTGCGCAAAACGAATCCGAACAGGAAGACGGCGAAGAGGCCGTCCAACGATCTGATTCTGAGGCATCAAGCTCCCTACAAGCGGATGCCAACTACCAGGAGGGTGAGTCATCAAAGGGGCCGTCTATGACCAACCCGACTGAGACACGCATGTCCGCCAGGGATAGAATTACCCTGGAAGCTAGCTTTGAAGCTTTTAGGGACAAGTGCCGAATGGGGAAAGGTTGGGAAATAATTGTGCCGCTTGCAGAGGCGACTGTCATCTAGGAGGACGATATTGACCATGCCGACAACTATTTTGGCTGCTATGAGGCGGCTTTCAAAGCCGGCCTCCGCTTTCCCCTCCACAAAGGAATTAGGGCCATCTTGAGGGGTTATGAGTTAGGCGTATGGCAACTCACACCCAACTACTGGGTGAACATTCTGAGCTATATCGCCGCCTGCAAGATGCAAAATCTTACGCCTAGCTTTGAGGCGTTCGCTCATATGCATTACATGAGCCGGGCCCAGGCGGTTGGGGGGCGTGGTATACTCTAAACACACTCCCGGAATACATGATGACTCTAGACAAGCCGTACAAGTGGACCAACTGGAAGAGCAAGCTTTATTTAGTCTCTTCCACGTCTCTACGACACAACCGCTTCCTCCGTTGGTACAACAAGGAGTCGGCTCTCTTAAGGAAGAAGTGTGCCCTTCTACACGTTCCTGAGAAGGCCTGGGCTGAAATAATGGAGCCGGAGTTTTTCAAAACCACAATTGCACCCCTAGACGATGGCTCGGAAATAATAGTGCCCAATAATTGGGTACCCCATCCGGGCTAGCTTAAGGATGAGGCGTTCCTCTCTGCTTGTGGTCTTAGTACCATGCTTGAGAGACGTACGTTAACCATTTAGCCAGCGTTATGTTGCCGTTTCTATTATTGTGATTTCTATTTTGTCTAATCAACTGGTTTCTTTTTGCAGAAAAAGGTCTAGAAATGGTGGATGCTGAAAAGACGCATGCCAAGTCTACGGCCCAGATCCGAAAAGATCAGCTTAAGAAGAAGAGGGCCCAATTGGCGGCCAAGAATGCTGGGGTAAGTTCTGCCTGCATCCCTTGTGTGAACTTTTATAAACATCAGACGGTTGTTACCCGGCTGTAACCCATTTGTTCCTATTTCAGGAGGGGAGCAAACACGTTCCACGATCCATCTCCAAAATGCTCAAGCAGAATGTTGATGAGCTTGGCAAAACCCCTTTCAAAGTAAGGTAGGTAAATCCAACTCAGACGGCTTCATCCCTGCCGCTTGTACAAAACAGACCAACAACCGGAGGCAAAGGTCCGAAAGGTCTGAAAGCGCTCAGTCTTAGCGCTAAGCTGGCTGGCAATGAACCGGACGTTCCCAGGACGTCGAAGAGTGGCAAGCCACTCGGTGCTACAACCGGTTCTGTAGTGGCTATGGGTGGAGAGACCCCTCAGTCTGAAAACCAAGGTATGGACGACTGTTTCAAACTCCCATGGTCGTTTGAGCATATGCGAGTCAAATCTCAAGTTACCCAATCGGGAGATTCGTCAGGCAACCGGCACAATATAGGTGTCGCTTATGCTGCTTTCTCACCACATCCTTCTTCTAGTGCAGATCTCTCTCAAAGGTGGCCATACCTCCAGCAGTACTCCAAACGGATGCTGAGGACCCTCACCCGGTCAGAAAAAGACC